AGTATTACGCGTGGCTCCATGGTTTTATGAATGTTTCAGGACGTGTTTACGACTTTAGGGCTTTAGGACTTCAGGACTTTAGGACTAAGACCTTAGGACGTCGACTTCAGGGCACGTCGATTTCACGAACACGTGACTACGTCCAGTTGCCAAATACACAACAGTGTCAACAAAATCGAACGGATACACTTCATTGATTGCGTTTAATAAATGAATATCCGAGTGTTATGTCACCTTTACAGGAGTGCCGCCTGGCAGATCTGCTTATGACACACCCCTAATACGTGGACGGGACGCAAGCTCACATAAGGTCTGATTACCAAGTCGGCAAGTGGTCGCGTGCAGTAGGTGAAGCCGTAGCCCGACGCACGTCTGGGGTTGCGGCGTCTTCAAGGTTATCTCACTGTCATTGGCCTCAATGATAGTACACCAGGTTACGACAGGCTTCAAAAGTCGCTTTGCATGACGTGAGATATATTTGCTGAATGACACAGGTAACATGGCTTTGCAAAAGCGACACTAGTCCGTGTTCTTACCACGCTTTTTGAAAGGTTTCTTTTTCTTCGAGAAGTGATTTTGGGCTTTGAGCTGCTTCTTGACGGCCAGTTTCGAGGCCTTCTTCTTGAGCTGCTTTTTCGCTTCGACATCAGCCATTAACTCCTCCACCAATGTTTTCCTGCGCTGTTTCTTGGGAATTCTGGAGCTGTAGAAGTCTGTTGCATGCTCTACCACAGTTCCCATAGCAAAGTACTTCGGCAGTACCCGCATGTCGTTCTTTTTGTAGACTCTGTTCTTGTTAATTGCGGACCTCATTTGGAGCACTTCCAAGTTCTGTTTAACTTCGTCCGTCATTTCAGGTGCCTTCATGTTAAACCAGCCTTCGCCACTTGTCTTTGCTCTTTCCAGTCGATTTTTCTTCTTCTGTATCCTACGCGAGCCACCTTTCGGCACCGCCTCAAGCTGTTCAAAGCCGGGTTTAATGATGCTCTTGTCCATGACATCTGGGTCGCACCTTCGCTTTACCTCGGTGTCTTTGCTGTTGTCTGCCAAAAGGAGGAGAAATTAAAAGTTCAGAAGCGCATTGCCGCATGCGCAGAACACATATCTACATCGGTGTATGACATATTGATATGTATATATATATATATATATATATATATATATATATATATATATAACCGGTTCTTGGTACAAAGGGAGCTAAAGCATAAAAGATCCTTGAGCATCAGCAGCATTGACGAGCATGAAGTCGCAGCTCAGCTCTTTAGCATAGACACACCACGTACACCTGCAATTCTCAGGATTGCATAAGCCCTTCGAATGCTCCTTTGCTACCATAAACATCGGTATTTCCAGGACTACGCGAAAAGGCAAATAGCAGCACCCTGAAATCCGGCACGGCCGATATACACCACGCACAACCTGGGCGCAAATCGTTCCAAGTCAGCCGGGGCGGGCGAGCCGGAGTCAGGGGCGAGACCCGATACGGGGTCGGGGTAACGGCCCGCTTTCTGTGATAAAGCAGCCCGTAATGTTAGGTCATGCCATTGAAACTTGTCTGCCCAAGAAAGGCCAACAGAGTTCCAGGCCTGCAGATGGCTTGATCGCATGGAAGTGGCAAACGACATTGCGGGGCGGCCACACATTGCGACTATGGACGGCGGCAGACAACGGCGAGCCAGACAGCCCGAATGGATCTCTCGCAGACCGCCCGCAAGGAAGCTGCTGCAACGGCCTCGACGTGGAAGGCGCCAGGTATACAATACCCGGTGATAGACTCAAGGTCACACGTTTCCCTTGCGGCTAAGGAGGGCGTGCTTCCAAGGACAATGGATGTCTAGCTCGTGATTAGATATGGCTGTCGCCACCAGACTGGTCACCAAGTATTCACGTCGAGGCAGAAGAATCAAGCCGTTAACATGTATGAGCTAGCGGTAGCGAATGTCACAAAGACCATGTCTGATGTGGCTTGCCCAAGGATGAACCACTGTGGACGGGGCTGTAACCACAACGTCGGGTGATCAGCAGCGACGATCAGATCAGATCCGTTCAGATCAGAACGGATCTGACCAGGTGATCAGATCTACGACGCCATCGATGTCCCGCGACGCGATCTGCGGCACGTGCGCCCGTAGTCGACAGTAGATCTGCGGGCGCGGCTGGCCGCGAAATCGCCGAGACGGTCAGCAGTGTCCCTCTCCCCCACAGCGATGGAAGAATGCGCCGACGGCGGCGAGCTAGCCGGCGACTGGCGGACTGCGCGGCGGAGAATGTGACGGCGGCCACCGGCGAACCGGGACGAGCCGGGGCAGAAGCAGGACGCGCGGTTCCATGCAGCGGATTCACGCCGTTTGCAATTCCATGGTCTTATGCTGTGGTTGTAAAGTGGAACTATCCATGCACTTTCACTGATTCTGTGTGGCTAAGGTGAGGAGCTATTCCTGCCCAAAATCAGCACCTTTTAAGTGACGGATCCTGATGGGAGGGCATAGAGGAGGTTGGCGGACTGCATGTTTACAGCCAGCTGGCGGCCACTGGTGGCCAGCGCGACTGCATAGTATCAGTGCCACCTGGCTCTGGATAGCCGACCAACAGGCAGACCATGCCATTGGTAAGCAGAGCTGACCTATAGTCAGAGGTGCCGGTCACAGAGGAGCTCATGCTTTGATTGTGTGCGTCAGTTCTCTTGCATGATGTTTTATGTCTGAGAGCTCAAAGATCATTTGAATTTGGTCAAGCAAAGTGAAATGAAGCCTTTGGCCAGGTCAAGTTTTGTAATCCTGGTTTAACAAGTGCATTACAGGCTATTATAGCCAGAGGACTCAAACTGCATTCACTGTAAGATATCCCCCAAAAGACCTTCTGTAATCTGTTATCACAATATGAGGTTATTTATGGTTATTACGAGGGTTAATTTATGAGGGGTAATTCAGTTCAGGAGATAAAACTGATGCACTTGTCACATGCACAGTGCACATTCTGAGACAAACATGGCCAGCCCTGCCCATGAGTGGTGGCATCAGGCCTTTGTTAATGGGCCACTGGTGTAACCTATTCATTTTGTTTCCATGTTGTGTCACAAATGATTTGAAAGATGCAGCATTGAGCCCATGCACCTACACCACATGTGTTGTAAAATTGCTATTATCTTTTTAAGGTAAAATGATCCAATATTTTATTTTTTATCATTGACAACATTTTTTGACTCAAAGAAGGTGTACATCACCCTAAGAACAAATTTGATGCATCAGAATTGCGCAACAGTGTTAGAGACCAACAGCTGTGCCTAGTTGTTACTAAATTATGAAGGCAAGAATATGATGAACAAATAATATGCTCACTTTGCTACCAATGATGGGGTTTGTCATACAGGATGATTTTTTACATACTTTCCATATCAAGTTAAGTACAAATGTCCACCTCAGCCATCACAGCATAGGTACATATGACATTTGTCATAATGATTTCTTACGTTCTGTTCATATAGTCGGGTACAAATGTCCATCTTAGCCAGCAAAAAGCACACTGAAATATACCCACCATTGTTCTGGCCTAAGCTGGGCACAACACTCCTTGCAGTACAACCATTGAGACTTTTTGGGACTGCTACTGCAACTTGCTGTTTTGGTGCAGAGAAAACTTCCGCATCCGAATCAGACTCGTCCTCAATGTGGACAGGATAACGCCCTATAACTTCCATGGTGACCGTGATCACGAAGTCTGTATGCGCCGATTGCTTACGACCAGCAATGGGGCGCCTGTCTGAGAAGCCCACCCGCTGCACCAGCCACGGCACCCAAAGTTGTAGGACCGAGTCGAGCGCTGACGCGAACACATGGTAATTGATGACCATGCACGCTAGTTTTGTCCTTCTAGCGCAGCTTTACAGAACCAATTTGAACTGCTGATAGATTCATAATAAACAAATAAATAATCGGCTGGGTGGCGATGAAAATGACCCGTTTGGTACCACACAAGAAATTAAGCAGCGTTTCTCAAAATATGGAACATAGTCCACGACATATCTGTTTAGAACATACAGCGTCGTGTTATCAATGACGTCATAGCTCACAATCAGCCGATCGCATGGTACACCTCCAAAGCCAAAATATTGCTCACTTAGCCTTCGCTCAAACTGCTTGCCGCAGTTTCGTTTGCGTGCTTGTGGTGTGATGGTGCACCTGTTTAGAGTGGGTGGGTGTGAAATTGCGGCTGCATGAGGCAGCTATGAAGCCATTTGTGAGCCCGTGATGTTGTTCCTGCCGGTGCGGCGCTGTGTGATTGGGAACTCCAAGCTCTGGGTTAATGTATATTGCTGTGTGAATCCTAAATTTCGACGCAATGTGGGTGTTGTTCAACACTTCTGAGTGATATGCTTGCAGTTCAGCCTTGTTGGATGATGGAAGAACGATAAGAACCTGGAAGATGGGAGAGTTATGATCATGCAGTCTTGTGCTGCTCAAGAAATGATGGAACCTAATAAGGATGTGTACACGCTACACTGTGTCATATGCTGGAAGGAGGTGGACCCAGCTTCATCCACCAGGCTTCACTCCGAGATAGCATCTGTGGGCACCCATTTGTTTGGTTCTGAAGGTCACAACAGTGGGGATACAACTATTGCTTCAGAACAAGCTTCACATGGGAGAAATTCTCCAGACCAACCCATGGAGGTAGCAATGCATGGCCTATTGAAGACCAGTCTTGGGAAGACATTGCAGGCAGCCATTGAAGCCATTTTGCTGCCACTGGAACGCCGCCTGCCCACTGGCTCAGACACACTCTGTCGGCCGTGCTGCCACCTGGTGATCAATGTGGAGCAATTGCAAGCCAAGGCATCCATGCTGGCAAAATGCCTGGTGTCTCGCCTTGATGCTGCCTGCCGCCCTGATGTAACCCCATCTGCAAAAGTCGTCCCCGATCCCCAGTCAGTCTCTAAACTCAGAGTGTTCCGCACTGCCCGTGGCCACCGGCACGCGTCTTCGCTGCCACCACTGCAGGAGAGCCAGAACTACATCGCGTCGCGGCGGCCGGCAGCAGCGGATGATGCCACCCACTCAGCCGTCATCAGCATCGAGATCTGCCCCAGCGAAGGCGAGCCGACGTTTGTCAGCGTGGAGCGCGCCCCCCGTCGAGTCGGCCTGCCACACAGAGAGCACCACTGTCAAACCAGAACCAGAGCCTGAGCAGGATGCTGCGGAGGAGCGCGAGCGCACGCCGCCGCCGGCCGACCCGCCGCCAGCTGACCCGCCACCGACGTACGTGCGCAATGAGCAAGACTCCCAATGCGCCGTCTGTCAGCGCACGTTCGACGAGCGCGCCGACTGCCGCGAGCATATGCGCGCACACCAGGCCAAGAAGGTCTACTTCTGCCTGCTCTGCCCGCTGGCCGTTCATGGCGCGCAACGCGCTGTACGAGCACGAGACGGCGCAGCACGCGGCCTCCGAGCTGCGCCCGTACGGCTGCGGCCAGTGCGAGCGCACGTTCGCCCACGCCCCGCTTCTTGCAGCGCCACAAGGACGAGGCGCACCGGCTGCGGTTGCCATGCGCGCACTGTCGGCGCACGTTCCGCCGGCCCGAGGACCTGGCTGCCCACCAGATGGTGCACACCGACCAGCGGCCGTTCCACTGCAACCGGTCAGTGCCGCCGGCAGCCGTGCGTCTGGATCGTCAGCCGGCGCCGTGCCCGGCGGCAGGGTCGTGTCTTGTGACGACGTTGAGGTCGCTGTGCCCGTGAGCGTTTGTGAGAAATTCTGGTTCAATTCAACATTTGTCTGCCGTGGCCGCCATCGAACCGTCAGTGGTAATCATTGGAGGCCGCACGACATCGGTTCGTTTGAAGTGCTAAATATGCGCATGCCGTACCATCTCAGCACGCCCACGGTCTGACGCGCAAACGGTGCGCTTGTTCCCCCAGGTGCCGGAAAGAGCTTCACCAAGAAGGCGGTGTGGCGGCAGCACCAGAAGACCCACACGCGCCGGCCGCGGCCGCACCAGTGTCCACAGTGTCCGAAGACGTTCCTCTCGGCGCTCAACCTGGCCGCGCACGCACGCCGCCACCGGCGCACCGAGCTCACCTGTTCGCACTGTCCGCTGCTCTTCAAGTCCGAGAAGCGGCTCCGAAAACACGAGGTCAGCCGCCGCAGTGACGTAAACGTGGCGCACCGTCGAGGCCGCCAGGGAGTGGGTCAACGAGTGGCGTAAACGGTGTTTGGTAGTCTGCCTTGTTTGTCGCTTTAGAAGGGCGGGCTGCCACGGAGCCCCCACGGCGATGTCCAGGCGGCTGTACCCCCGCTGTGGCCGCACAGCGTGTGGTTTGTGCCTTGTTTGTCGCTTTAGAAGGGCGGGCTGCCACGGAGCCCTCACGGCGATGTCCAGGCGGCTGTGTCCCCGCTGTGGCCGCACAGTGTGTGGTCTGTGCCCTGTTTGTCGGTTCAGAAGGACGGGCCGCCACGGAGCTCTTACGGCGACGTCCAGGTGGCTGTGCCCCCGCTGTGGCCGCACAGCGTGTGGTCTGGTGATGTGGTGGGCCTGGTGCTAATCTTATTGGCGCTCCGTGTAAATATTTTTTAAAAAAAATTATGTTGATCTATGCTGTTGTGGGTTGGGGAAACTGGAGAGCATTCGAATATGGAAGGCAATGGCATGGACGCCGTACAGATATTGCAAAATAATGTCTGGCGCGTGCTGGCCCACGGTGACACGAATCTCCCGACAGATGAGCCACTCCGGTGAAAATCTCCATTCGTGCGCCGTCTGTCAGAAGACGTTCACCAAGAAGTCGATGCTGGAAGACCACGCGCGCACCCACACCGGGGAGAAGCCGTACATCTGCGAGCACTGCGGCGTCGGGTCAGTCTCGAGCGCGGCGCTCGAGTCGGCGGCCCTGCTCTGTGGTGGGGCCGCCTGTTGGAAACGGTCGCCTCCTGCGTTCGGGTGGCGTCTGTGTAGACGGTTGGCATGCCAACAGGCAAGCACGCGCGCCACGGCTGGCGGGGCGGAACACACCCTGCTGGGCTTGGGATGAAGCATCTGTTAAGCGTTATCCGAGCGGCAGACCGTGCAGACCGTTATAGGACGTAACACCTTGTTTCGATTCTCGTCAGATCGTGATAGGGCGTAACGCCCTGTTTCAATTCTCGTCACATTTTGATAGGGCGTAACACTTTGGTGCAATTCTCGTCACTTTATGAAATGGCGTAACAATGCTTCAATCCTCGCCAGATTTGCTCAGCGTTCCAACCTGTCATCTCACAAGAGTGCTGTGCACTTCAACGAGCGGCCCTTCGAGTGCACGGTCTGCAGTAAGACCTTCAAGAGGAAGCAACTGTTGGAGTTCCACCACAAGGCTGTCCATACCGGTCGGTATACCCATATGGCCATATGTCGGTACAGCAGTAAACTTTTTTACCCGTTGGCGGGGATATTTTATTCCAGTGCGCTTCAGTTGCTGTGCTTGTGGTGGATGAAAAGGCAGGTCATTGTGCGTTGTGCGTTGTCTCAGCAGATGACAAGGCCTTGCATGTATATCGTTTCTGCCTGCCGTTTGAGGAATCACTGACCATATTTAATGTTTCGTAATCAGTGTTTGATGTCGGCGCCATGTTTCGTCTCCTTCGCCAACGCCGACACAGCCTGGCCTGCACCGGTGTGGGGACCAGATAATTTGTGGAGACGGCCTTTCCCTGTCGAAAAGAGCACGCCGTGCCAGTGCTCCATGGGAATTCTTGGCGTGTTTGGGGGGGGAGGGGGAGGGGCACTTGTCCGGGCTGCTGTTACCGCTGCCATGCTCGTGTCCGTATCGTTGTTGTTTGCGTCGCATTTCATTTAGTGTTTACCAGATAGTCATTTTCTCATCACTTTCCTTTTGGTTGAAATGTGTTTCTAATGATCAGTGGCAAGTTCCATGTTTTTGTCGTGTGCATAACTATGTTGCACCAAACATTTAGTTAGGGTAACAATCGCTTTGGTTCTTGTTTCTAATACTTCTTGTTTTATCTTGCAGTCTGACGCCAGTGTTTTTAATACCGTCGCCTTGGTGGCCTTGCTCGCAAAGTTCAGTTAATGTCAGCCTTGATGCATTGAACGCTGATGGCTTGGGAACGGGAGTCTGTTCTTGTGTCACGAGTTGATCAAACTGGACGGGTTTTCCCCCGCTTTGTGAGAGCCAAGTGCGGTTGACTTCTCACACGTCCGTGTCCTCTGTCCTGTGGAATCCAGGTGTAACAGTCTCCTGCCCTATGTGGGACGAACGTGACTCCCGCTGTCTCCCGTCCCATGTGACCTGCGATTACGTGCTGTTGTACGTGTTGTTGTGATGTATGTGTTGTTTAAGCCGTGTGTGAATGTCTCCTGACTTCTGTCACCCATGTATGACCATCATCTTCGCCGTGTGACTGTTTCCTGACTTCCGTCACCCATGTGAGACCATCGCCCTCGCCGTGAGTGACTGCGTCCTGACTTCTGTCACCCATGTGTGACCATCATCTTCGCCGTGAGGGACTGTATCCTGACTTCTGTCACCCATGTGTGACCATCATCTTCGCCGTGAGGGACTGTATCCTGACTTCTGTCACCCATGTGTGGCTATCGCCTTCGCCGTGAGTGACTGTTTCCTGACTTCTGTCACCCATGTGTGACCATCGCCTTCGCCGTGAGGGACTGTTTCCTGACTTCTGTCACCCATGTGTGACCAGCATCTTCGCCGTGAGGGCGAAGGTGCTGGTCACCTATCCTGACTTCTGTCACCCATGTGTGACCATCACCTTCGCCGCGAAGCCCTGCTTGCTGTCTGTGACTCCTGCCATATGTGATGTGTATGGTTTGCTGCGATGTTGTGATAAGTCACCTTGTGTACGTTAGGCTACCCTTGTGCAGTCGACGCCCCCGCCATTTGGGCCCCGCATCCTTGTCTCGTGCCCTGCGTCTCACCACCTCCTGCTCCACACGAGCCGCGCGCTGCGCCCGGCTGGCCGTGACTGACCCGACCCCGACCCGGCCGCGGCGGCAGGCGAGAGGCCGGCGCGCTGCACCGAGTGCGACGCGTCGTTCGTCTCGGAGCAGCAGCTGCGCAGTCACGCCAAGCGACACAGCGCCGACCGGCCGTACCGCTGCGGCGTGTGCGGCCGCGCCTTCGTCAGCCGCGAGCGCTGCAACGCGCACATGTTCACCCACTCGGACAAGAGGCCGTTCGAGTGTCGGGTGAGTGTGTGGGCGCGTGGTCTGCGTGCGGCCCGCCGGCGGTCGTTTTGGGATCTCTGCTGCACCGTGTCGCGCCGCTGTCAGCGCTCTCGGCGCGTAACTGCTGCGGGATGCGCTGCTATGGAGCAATAAGCTACTGTTCGTAACGGCCTGACGTCCGGTTGACCCCGGGCTCAGCTGACAGTTCTGTCAACGTGCGACGGCAATGTCGCTCGCCTCCTAGGCAAGCAGTTCTACCAACACGCGACGGCTGCGTCATGCGCCTCTACACGCTGACGTCGGCGTTGCCGTGACCGCCCGCCGCCCGGCCGCTCCCTCGCTAGGTGTGCGGCTGCGGCTACATGCGGCGGCCGCAGCTGCTGGCGCACATGGCCGAGCTGCGCCACGGCGCCGGGCCCGATGACTACATCATCAACCAGGCCGTCGTGGAGCCGGCGGACGGCCAGGTGAGCGCCAGCGAGGCGGGACGGCGCCGCCATGCGCCCCGGCTGGGGCCGAACTGGCTCGGCTGTGGAGGAGGGCCCAGGCTCGTCAGGAGTGGAGCCTGGTGTACACTCGGTGTTGAGATCCGATAGGGTTGGTTAGTCTTAGTGTAACTGAGCTGTCACGTAGGCGCCCGCCGCACTGCTGCGTGTGTGTGCGTATGGGGATGTGGTAGATAAGGGCTATACGCCAGGTGCACGACGCGTTCGCGTTCGTTCACGACTCATCACTTGGCCGTCGTTACTGACCTTCGCTGTCCTCGCTGTGTACCGTGCATCCCATTCGTCCCATTCGTACAGACATCCCTTCCGACCTACACGTCATACGTGCCCCACCCGTGCTGCGGCAACCCGTGGTTTGTCGCCGCCCTCGCAGCGCGGTGCCGTGGCCGGCCCCGTGGCGTCGCCGGCCCGCCTGACCGGCCTCCGTGCCGCGGCAGGCCGCAGCCGAGGACGGCAGTCAGCTGGCGCGGCCGGCGCTGGCGGACGCGGGAGTCGTGTTCGAACCGACGGAGCGGCCGCACCATCCGGCGCCGTGAGCAGCGGCGGCGGCGTCCGTCTCTGGCGGCGGGCGGTCCGGCGCGCGCGTCAGGCGCACTGAAGAGGCCGATCGGCCGCAGCAGTGGCGCCGCCCTGCGGCCCGTTCAGACGCGGGGTCGTGGCCGAGGTGGGCGGACCACACAGCTGGGCGCCCTTGGCAGGTGTGGAGCGGCGACGGGCAGGGCTCGAGGTATGGGCCCGGTGGAGATGGGGCGACGTCCGGAAGAGTCAGCTCAGCTCATGGAGACACGCGATGTCGGCTGTGCGATCTGAAGGCTCTGTGGAGGGGAGCCGACACTGGGGCAGGAGCTTCAGCATGGTGTCTCAAGGGCCGGTGTAATGAGGGCCGGAGGAGGCGGTTGCGACTTGGCACCGGTTCAGTCGACGGGATCGGCCCGACCGTTCGTGCTTGTCCCATCAATGATTCGGGAAGTACCTCAGTGTTGGAGGTCGCGTCACCGTCAAACAGCTTTACGAAAAGGTCGCTTGCGAAGAAGTTAAAGCGGAAGTTTGATCTTGGTGTTTCTGACAAGCTTTCATGACATTTAACGACAAGAAGTGTCGTCGAACGTCGAATTTGTTGAAGATATTTCGATTCAGTGATGTACTCTGGCCAACTTCATCATGACAAAGTTGGAACAAAAACGTGCAAGCAAGTGATGGTTAGCTGCTTGCTGCCAGCAATAGACAAGAAGAAAATGATGCTGCCGCCTCGGCGCCTTCAGTCCATTACCGAGTGGCCTCCCGCGCGGGTGGCGCTCGCTTCCTTACACGCCCACGTCGGGGCGGCGAAGTTCTTCACCACGTGCGCCTCCCTCGGCGAGGCGTGGCGCGGACCATGCCGGCTACCAGGGCGGTACGACCTCTGCTGGTGGCTCGACGGAGGTGCCGCCGTTGCACGAATCTAAAGGGGAGGCCAGCTGGAAGTGCGTGTGCCATCGACCGCTCGCGGGAAGTCGTCGGCTCGGCCACGGCTGTCGTCCTGGCATTTTCTCGTCCCCATGGCGGTTGACTTGCGCCAGCGCTGAGCCGCCTGAGGTATGGACTGCATCGTTGCCCGTGATCATGCCGCTAGTTTGGGGCTGGATTGAGTTGTGAGTGCGCTGGCGAGCCCCGATGGAGGGCGGTGGCTGGCGGACGGGCCTGCGACCAAGATCTCTGTTAGGACGCTAGCCTTTATGTTGGCCATGATGAAGTCTATTTTTTGGGCACTGTTGCGTGCGCTCGTATTTATTAGTGTGGTTGGTGACGCAGGGGGATGTGGCGTCTCACTTTTTGGTGGGACGATTCGTGCAGAATATAGCTGTAATACTAGTGTTTTATCTTTTTGTGCATTCGTAAGTGTAACGTACACACGGTTGGCTCATTCCCATAGATATATATTATCAGAGCCAGGATCACACATTTTATACGTACAATGCACAATAAAAACACATTGAGAACAATCCTATCATCGTCGTGCACGCAAGCGACTGTGGTATCAAAATGGCATGTTGCTGGCTACAGCGTTAACGGTTGTCTCCATTGTCGCTGGGTAGCTGTCTGACAGTTCGGTCGGTACTTCGCCTGAGGAGCGGCGCCTTTTCATCGCAGGATGTGAATCAACCACAGCTTTCAAACAAATTGCGGTACGGCATGATTTTAACCCGGCTGTGCACGTGCGACGCTTGATAACCACGGACTGGCAACAAGCCCTTGGGGCAGGTCATGCTAACGTCTGGTGACGAGCTGCAGACATGGCGCCTCACGCGGCGCACCATCCCATCACTTCGCCGCAGCGCCTCAGCAGTTACCACGACACCTTCGTCTGAACCCCAGACCATTTGTAACGGAACACCGCGGCGGATCGTCCTGCAGAGCATGCTTGGCATGTTGTCGGCCGGCCTCCCGGCCTGCTGCCGCGGCCCCTGACACTCATCCGGCCGCAGCCTCCCACCCAGCGGGGCACTCGGAGAAGCGGACACAACATGCCGACCACTGGCCGTACAGTGCGCTCGGAATGGAATGTTTGTGACGCGGCATTCGCGGTAAGGGACACCATACGAAACACCGAACACTGATTGGAATGGGATTCCCGATTGAAACCCTGTCAGCCGGCACGCACAAACCACAAATAAATGACATTCTTACACGCGGACAAAGCATGCCAACTTCATAAACGTCACCGCAAGAGGACAAGCGTCTGCCGAAGGACATCGTCGTCGCCGACTGCGATCCTCCGAATGTCGCGAAATCCCGTTGCAGAAAAATTTCATGAATCAGTACATTCCGTAAACCACAGCGGGTGCACAGGCCCAGTGACCTCGCGGCGAACACGCAATGAAGCGTGTTTTTGTTCTGGGCAGACGAGAGGAAGGAGAGATTCCAACGGGTTAGAGGCTACGTTGCTGTACGATTCACGCTGCCTGTAATGGCTTTCAGCTGTAGCGTAAAAAATAGCTTGGCCCAAGCCCCGGGCAGCGAGGCGAGACGACCTTCACAGAGAACATTTGCGTAGCTCCGATCCACCCACCTAAATTCTGCCCACACGGTAGAAGTACTCCTGCGTAAACCAGTTTATAGGTCACGAACAGGTCGATAATACATTTGCTCAGTCATGTCTTGGCAAGAACGTTTTGACTGCATCACTGACATAAGGTCCGTAAAATGTGTATTGGGAACAGTGCATCAGATCTGTCAAAGCGTAGTAAGGTATCAAGATCCATAATTCCGCCGCTTCAAGGGTGTTCCACGCCGTCCCTGCAGAATTTCCGCCACGATTTGATCCTCTAATTGGCATCACCAGCTAGGTAAGTCAGCCGGGAGCCAGCCACCAGTCCCGCTCAGCGGCGGACAGCGGCGGCTCAGCCCGCGCCACACGGCACCGTCGGGCTGCCAGATCCGCGGCGGGCCGCCAGATCGGACCCGGCGGCGGCCCTGGGACGCGGGCTTCGGACCGCGGACCGCCGGCCGGTCCGCCGTCGAGTCCGGCGGACCGGCGGAATGGTCCAGCGTCCGTCCGCACGTTCAAAGTCACAGACTACGCTCGGGCTCCGCCCCAGCCGGCCACAGGACACCAACACCGTTCACTTTGGCCACGTGGTCGCTGTCAGCGCAGTGCGGGCAGTCTTGCCCGGCCTCGTCAGACCGCTGGACAGCACTGGGAGACATCCACACGCGCACACCGAGGGCACCGCGGGCGCCCGGAATGGTCTAGATGGGGGCGGCTCACGCCGCCCTGCGGCCCGTCGCCGCAGCCGGGCGTCCGAACGGCATGTGCGGCAGCTGGAAGCAGGTCTCCAAGAAGTGCTCCATCGTGTGGTAGTGGTGACGCCGGATGCCCCCCAGGGCGTGGTTCTCGTCCGGATACGTCTGAAACGCGCATGCGCAGGTGTTGCAATCGGCACGCAGGTGCTACAATCAACACCGTCGGCGACGCAGGTGTTGCAGTCAGCACCATCGGCACGCAGGTGTTGCAATCAGCACCATCGGCCACGCAGGTGTTGCAATCAGCACCATCGGCGCGCAGGTGTTGCAATCAGCGCCATCGGCACGACGCGATGGCGACACACTGCAGCCACCGCCGGTGAATGGATTACGTGCGCCCTCTGGTGCTGCGACCGGGTCATCATACAGCGATCATAACCGACAAAGTGGCAAGAGATTTGATTTCTGACAGTTACGCCATGAAGTTCAGATTCCAACGGTCCTTGAACCTCAGTGCCAAACAAAACAGTCCCATGCGCTCAGCAGCGTCGGGTCCAACCTGCTGCATGAAGAAGATGTCGGCCAGCTCCAGCGAGCGCGACAGCATCATGGACTGCTGGTAGTGTACGTTGTCGTCGGCCGTGCCGTGGATCAGCAGGTACTGCTTGTTGCGGAAGTTCTGCACGTTGCCGGACACGTCGCCGGCGGCGTAGCCTCGGGCGTTATCCTCCGGCGTCGGCAGACCCATGTACCGCTCCGTGTAGATGGTGTCTGGCGCGGGGCGCGGGGCGGGTCAGGGCACAGGCCGCGGTCACGGGACAGACGGTCGGAGCTAGGCTCCCGGTCCGCTGTGGCCGTTATTGCGCGACGTTCCTGACAAGGCTTCATCCACTGATCGTTCCCTTCACACCGTAAGTGTTTGATGCGTCGCTCTTGTTATCTGTCAGGTGTTCAGTGCGGAACGCGGGATTTTGTTCAGTTGGGCGGTGTGTAGAGTCTCATCTAGCAGCCGAGCCCTCCCCAACTTATGGCTGACCTCCTCCCCCCCCCCCCCCCCCCACCGCCAGCTGGCAACTGAGCTCCCCTAGGCAGCAGGTCCTTCTAAGCTTAAGCACCATACTTCAATGAAGTGTGTCAAATGTGCAAACAGCAGCAAGGAAAGCAAAGTGCGCGAATGTTATACGCAAGGACAAGATCTGTTTGTGAGTCTTTTCTCTCACATGGCTCCTAAATATGCCATGAAAATTAAAAAATCACTCCACGCTACGATTTTCTCCAAATGATAAAGCAAGGTAGCGCAAGCTCGTGAAGAATCTATGCCTACATCTGTGGGTACCCAGGTCACAGAGCTCTGGGCTGAGTGTTCCTTCCTCCGCAAATCGATTTTGCGAAACTACAACCCCTGCATCTGATGATCCCACAATGCTGCCTGGAATCATATCCCTCTATTTCTGGGAATTAGATCCCATGTTAGTGCCCACAATGGCTGCCGAATAAACGTCCATGTGACCCTCACCACGCTACTCAACCGAAACTTGCCACTTGGATTCATCCTAAAACATGTGCGGGATAACTCCGTCCAGGAGCACCCTGTCCCGCGCACAGGAAAAGCCCAGTCCCATCCACAAGGAAAGCCCCGTTCGACGCACAAGGGGAGCCCTGTCCCACGCCACAAGGAAAGCCCTGTTCCATGCCACAAGGAGAGCCCCGTCGCACGCACAAGAGGCCCTGTTCGGCGCCCCGGACTCCCACCGGGCAGACACCGACCCCGGCCGGGCGGCGTACCATAGTAGATCCAGTTGGTGACGGGCGCCACGGACATGCCGCACTTGAACACCTGGTCGGTGTCGGTGGCCATGACGCGGGCCGTGACGTAGCCGCCGTACGACCAGCCCCAGATCGCCGTCCGGTTGGCGTCGATGAACTTGTACAGGTCCAACAGCTTCCTGCGGATGGCCGCCAGGTGCGGTCAGCACACCACGTGTCCCTCGCGGAGGGTCGCTGTCCGGTCTGGACACGACACGCAGGCACGCGTGCCACGTGAGAGGCATTGGGACAAGAAAAACAACAAAGCGCAACAATACAAACTGCGTGGTAAGCGATAAGCGCGCTCGAAAGTGATTTTCGATGCTTTAAGTTGGATTAAAAAAAGAAAAATGAACACAATTAACGTGGTCTTGCGATGTCCGCAAAGGCTCTCTGTTTCCACACGGCCACAGGCGGGAGAAGGCGCCGCGTTCCTCCTCCAAAATGGCGTCATTGAGGACGACATGCTAATCAAGGTCCTCAACATTCCCGATGCGTCCACCAGCTCTTTTCTGCGCGCGGGCTGACTGAACAAGCGTATGGCCTTCTACCTCCAATCTCAGGCGGACTACGGGCACCTAACGCCGAACCTCCACCACGCGACAGAGATTACGTCCTAAACCGCACCAAACAGATCGGGCATCGGCCCTCACTGTGTCCCGGACATCCACTCCCGGACCTCACCGGGCCACCGCGATCTGGTCCTCGACCTCGACGGTGCCCATGCGGTAGTAGATGGAGTGGAGCAGCTTGTCGCCGCCGTAGCCGGAGCCGCGGCCGTCGATGTTGACGTAGATGATGTCGCGCTCGGTCACCAGGTGGTCGTCCCAGGCCACGCCCCAGCTGTCGCCGATCACCTGGCTCTTCGGCCCGCCGTACCTGACCGGCAGAGGAGGAGTGTGAGACGATGTCGACGCCAGCCGCCGACCGGCCGGCGCCGTTGCGCACTACCTGTTGGTGTGTAATGGGCATCCATATCCAAGTTTGATATGGATGGAGGTGGGTGGACGTTTCCAAATCAAAATTAATGTGCTGCTCGCGCGAAACGCGCCGGTGCTACTCTTAAACTGTCATTTGGAGGGATGCACCTACAGATGTGTTTTAATCACACGGGACAGTTATTAGCTCAGATTAATTCTTCTTACTGGGCACACGGTTGCTGGATAACGGCTGTGCAGTGAGCATCCGGGGTATTACATCGTTCAGACAGCTTCACTCACGTATAGACTAGCATCGGGTACTTCTTGGCAGAATTTTCCACGAGGCCGGGCGGCAGCTTCATGCGCACCCTCGCCTTGAAGCCGTCCGCCACGTCCAGAGTCAGACGCATCTCCTGGGAAGGAGAACAGGCGGTAGAAGCAGACGAGCAGCGCACCCTGTCGGCCACATCTCTCGGACGGCAACGGTGCGACGGGGCTAGCGCCAAGCAGCGCCACCAGTGGCTTCGAGGTCCGAAACCGCCTCCGCCCTCGGTCATGGGAGAGAGAATAAACGTTTCGCATCAGTTCACTCACACACACGGTTCGTGATTCCTCATGGTGATAGCCGTGCTACATAACCAGACAACACATTTTCAAGGATGGGATAGCCTCCGATAACTCCCTTCGTTTCCGCTGGTTGACCTAAATTTAGCGCCGTGGGTTTGCCCCTCCCCCTGTCTGCTGCCGTCACCGAAGAGCGCACCGGCCCCCGTCTCACCTGGGGCAGCACCTTGCCGGCCATCTCCTTGGTGAGTGCCCTGTTGTCGGCGATCAACATCAGCTGGGCGCCGGTGTCGGTGCGGTGGAGCGTGACGCGTGGAACCGTGCTCGGACCCTGGCACGTCCACACGTAGTGGCTGCCGCCCGTGCTGAAGTCGACGCTGTTCTTGGTGCAAGGGTGGCTGCCCTGCGAGGTGGTGTTGCACGTGACGCACGTCATCACGTTGGAGCGCGTCGCCTTGATGTCGGTGACGGTGTACAGGTGGCGCTGGCTGGCCTCGTTCGCCGGCGCCGCCATGAAGTATCTGTGCCGCCGGAGGAGAGGGCGTTAGCTGCGCAGAGGGGGTGTCAGCCCGGCGGAGGAAAAGTGTCATTAGGGGAGGGGTAGAAGTCTTGATCATCTGTAGGGCGGGTGATGTGCGTGGCAGCAGGGTGAGGTAAAAGGAGGGGGATATGGTCGGCTGGGCAGATATTAACTCAAGCTACGCCCGGGTACCGACAAACCGACGGAAATGGCTGTCATCAGTCATTGAATCACGGTGGTGGGCGGCAGTTACATTGTTCCAAATATGCAGCGTCACTCAGAGCCGCTGGAGGCTGTCGTGCGCGTGTCGGAGGGCTCTTTAAACGACCCCAGGCGCACGGCTATCTAATCGTGCATCTCCTCTCTACGACACAAAGGCAAGCGGAGCGACTTGGAAGCTGCGAGTGACATTTGAAGTGAGAGCCTCCACGCATAAATGAGCGAGCAGCCAGTAGCGAGCATCAGTGTGCCCGGACCGGCACACCGGGCGACTCAACATGAGCCGGCGGAACGCCACGACCGGTAACACTGAGCCGCGTAATCCTTGGCTAAAAACTCGGGTAAATCCCCGCGGTTCGGCCCGCGGCCGCAGCGCGCGACCGCAAGCCGCCAGCCGTCGAGCGTGCGCGTATCCGTGCTGGGCCGCGCCGCGGTCCAGGCGGCCTCCCTCCCTCCGGGTTCGCTCCGACCTCGCTCCGGCCTCCCCCCGGCCTCGCTCCGGCCTCCCTCCGGCCTCGCTCCGGCCTCGCACCGGCCTCCCTCCGGCCTCCCTTCAGCTTCCCTCTGGCCTCCCCTCAGCCTCCCTCCAGCCGTCCTCCGGCCTCCCTCCGGCCTCGCTCCGGCCTCCCTTCAGCTTCCCTCCGGCCTCCCTTCAGCCTCCCTCCAGCCGTCCTCCGGCCTCCCTCCGGCCTCTCTCAGGCCTCCCCCAACCTCCATCCAGTCTCCCTCCGACCTCGCCCCGTCGCCCACCCTCGCCCTCACATCAGCTTGTTGGGCTGGTCCCAGTGCAGGATCTCGGTGACGGTGAGCAGGCCGGAGGTAATGGGCACGCGCGCCAGCCCGTTCCTCCACACCATGAAGATGTGCTTGAAGTGTCCGGCCGAGCCCTCCAGCTTGGGCAGCAGGGTGATGTACGACGAGCGGTCGTCCGACCAGATGGGCGCCTCCTCGATCTCGTTCCACGCCTTGTCTGGGTTCGGCTGATCCAGGAGCTGCCGGGGCAGGGTGGTGTCAGACGCACGCGCAGGGTAGCCGGTACTCTCCGACGAGTGCAGGCGACAACACGCTCCGGTGGTCAGACGAGGTGACGCATCATCAAGTCAGACGACAGGACATTTCACGGAGGCGTGGTTCGCTGGTGAGACGCCTCGCACAGGGAACGGTTGCCCCATTAACGAGCACGAATTGCCAGCGAGCAGCGCCAGCAACACAGACGCGAAATCCTCAAGACGCGTAAAACGGAGAAGCGCCTAGCGTACGGAGCAAGCGCCTACGTCACCTCCGAAGACATGCATTTTTGGCCTTATTTCGAGGGAGACCGCGCCCGACCATCTACCACTGCCTCGCCGCGCGCCGGGGCATGCGTCTCGGTTGGCCGCACGTTATCACGGTCCGACTATTAACGCTGCCGAGCGGCCGCCGTACCTTGGACATCTGCGAACTAGCTGCGTCGAACAGCGAGATGATAGTGTGGTTCTGGTGGCGATTCATCCACGTCAGCGTCAGGGAGGAGTTATCCATCCACGCCGCCCGCGTCAGGTAGTGCTCCCTGCGCGGCACGCAAACACCACGTCCGGGTCACGTGCGGCACGTGGCCGACATTATCCACGGGCGCGCACGTGCCGGCGGTTAGCGCCGCCGCCGCGGCTCAGTAATTCGCTCCAGCACCGGGCGGCACGTGCGCGTTTCAGCCGGGCGCCGCCACGTACGCACCGCATAGCTCCGGCGGACAGGCCTGCTCTGGGCACAATGCGGCCGCTGCGTGGGGAGGCAGACGGTAAACGTTTGCGCGGGCCGGCTCGCTATTTGATCCGGCCCCGGATATATGACACACATCGGCCGGCGGTCCGGGATATATGACACACATCGGCCAATGGCATCACACACTCGGCTTTCAGCCAGGAATTCGGACGCAGAAAGATTGGGGTCAGGTTGCCAGTACAGAAGACAACGTTTCATGCGGAACGCTTCGGCCGGACTTGAAACGCATGCCCACGGTGTACTGTTTGACACCAGTTGGGCGGCAAGGTTGAAAACCAGGGCTTGCCATGTAAGCTGAATGCGCGCTCATCTTAAGTTGTTAGTATTACCGTCGAGTTCAGTCTTTTATTAAAGCTGTACTAATGTATGCAGGCAACGTAATATTTTTAACGTTTTTTCAAGCACAATAAGACTTTTGCTTATGAAAATAATGTTTTATCCATGCAATTGATTGATGCAAATAGACGGCAGAGACGTTGGCAAGAAATCGGACAAAATGGTAAGCACTGGTCACAAAAATGTAACAAAAACGGCAAATACAGTTGCAAGTACAGTACATACCGACGAAAAAGAGCGACACTTAAGCAACAGTTGACATAAAGTACACGTCATTTTGTCCACTGATGAACTTACAAAACTTGCATGATTTATGCCTTGAATATATCGGTTCATTAGTTGTCTTTGGGGAAGTCGTTTTTTTATCTTCAGGATGAAGTCTGTCGATTGTTTCTATGGCCTTAGCCTATCGTCTCAAACCTTAACAACGTTTTCCGTGGTGTGGTGTGGCTTTTACGAGGGTTCACGTGGCATGGCGTTCATCATGACTGACCTTCGCAACGGAGCTTTTTGTTGCATTTCGCTGCATTCGCTATTACTAGCAAGGTTTTATAGCTTCATATATGCATAGTATATAACGTAATAGTAAAGTTAGCCTGTGTTAATAGTTGACTCAGACTGTGCTCGGTCAGGTTATTCCTACCCCGGTTTCCAGCGCTTACGGATAATAATGCTAAGCAAATCGAAAGCGTACAATCGAGACTGCACAGTATTTGCGAGCTCCATGCTGCTATGGCAGACCTGATCTGTTACTGAGACCAGGTCTGAGCGACAGCATGCGGCTGCTGACCTGCTGACAAACTCAGTTGGAGGGGGCACCAGTTTGACCGCCGGCTTCTTGGCAATAGCGCGGTCCAGGTCCACTATGTAGGCGGATACCGTGGGGTTCTTGCGGCCCGGCTGTAACAAAGAGCACAAAAGTGCACAGCCACGGAACCTTACAGACAGCATGCACTCACTCAGTAAACAGATTGGCCCCTGTGTGGCAAGGCTGCCATTCCTAAGCAAAATCACGTGCGTCACGTTTTCCCGTAAAAGGATTTTGCGGTTTTGGCTTTGCACTACGCATAAAACACGACAGAGCAGCAATGACTCGGCACGGACACACCGCTGCGGCGTGGGGCGTGCTTCAGCAGTCACACACAAACACACAGGTGTTCGGGGTAAGCGGCGAAACACAGCTGCTCTCGTGGGAGAGGGGTGCAGCCAGCTGCAGCAGGAGCGCCCGACAGATGCCATACGCAAGGTCGGCCGATGCCGGTGGGCGACTTGCCACCACGGGTAGTGATGTGATGCGAGGCGGTGATTGACGCTGGCAGAAAAAGCGCGGCGGTTCATGCGTGCACGACAAGGGTTGAAAGGATAGCATGGAACGTCCATTCTTCCGACGTTCATTTATAGACTGGATGAGCACCGCAACTAAGCAAACATAGGTGTCGGCAAAAACGCGCAATCCGCGGCAAACACAGCGCGACGAGTGCGGTGCGTAGGTTGGCCAAGAATGCAACACAAAGGCTATCGCCACCACACCAAAGAGTGCTTAAAAACTACTGGCGCCAGAGCTAAACACACAAGACACACAAGCGTGCCAGTAAAATAGCCCGGCATGGCCGATATGGGACAGAAACTGGACCGCTAGGGAGACAAACGCATCTGTATGTACACTTTCGATGTGCCAAGCACGCTCGGTCCACTGATCCCCAACACATGTGACCGGAGAGAAGCGTGTGAGAGACGACGCGCGGTCCTCCTGTACCTTGGGATAACGCAGCGGAATGGTGACGGGGTACTGGAAGTCCAGCTTGCCCGCCCTCCCGTACATCTGTATCGGCATGATGTCCACCTCGGTGTCGTTGAATGACGCATAGGCCATCATTTTGCCGTCCTTGCTGAACCACATCGTGTGGTCGTCGCCAATTACTTCCTCTGTAATGGAAAAATCACCACTTAATCACGGTTCTTGATCACCATCCCATTCACAGTATGCACTGTCTCATCCCGTATTCTTGCCTCCTCGCCGCCTCGTGCCGCCTCGTGCCGCCAGGAGTGTAGTGAGGCCATCAGTCACGCACCGGCGTGACTGCCCCCCTCTCGCTGAGCAGTCATGCATTCAGTCAGTTGAGCAGTCGCACCTTCGCGAACTCCGCCCGGGCACGCGTACAGCCGTGGTTTAGGTCACAGTGTGGGGATAAGCGTGCTGTCAGAGGCAATCTAGGACGGCCGAGGCATTGCTCCGCCACAACAATCTCGACAATTCTCAACAATCTCGCAGCTCTGATATTATCTATCTGGGACGGATGAGCTCTAATGCAACAGTCGCAAAAACACTGAAATATTTCGGTAAAGGGAGAGTCCCACCTTTGGGACTTATTCAAAAGCATACTCTGGTGAAACCCCAGAACCATTCACGTCTAATAATAGCACCGAGTAGTGCCACTGGCGCACCATCAATGTAAAATAAGGATTCAGACGCTTTTTAACATCACCACATTCTTCCTTTCATGGAAGCCCCGGAGTGTATCCGGAGCCCGCGTTCACTGCGACTGTCGCGACCGCCGTAGTCATGACGACGGAAGAATCCACTGAGGATCGTTGTCAGCTTTTGCGGGCTAACGCCTACAGTACGAATTATCAGCCATTTTAAACCGCACATTGCGGGTTTGCGAGCTGAAACGTGACACTTCTACTGGGATGAAAGACTTCAGTACAAATGAACGCCTGTGAGTGGCACAATGAGCGGCAAGGGCCAGTTACCAAGAAGCGCATTGGTTGAAGTCTGAATCAGTTGCGTCACGTTATACCATGCGATGCCCTGTTCCCCAAAGCCAAAGTCCGCTTCGAAAAGAGCCGCTGTGGTTAACGCCATAAGGGAGAAATCAAAGCCCTAGGAAAATGTTTCGTTGAATTCACGACATAACGCCCCATGGTTGCATATATTTGTCTTTAAGAGTGCTTCATGCTTTCGTAGCATTAGATACAAAAGCATTTTGACAAATTAGGGTGCTGCAAACATCACATAACACATACGTTGGAAAAGTATGCCAAACTATTATTACTTTCATAGCGGTGAGCAGGGACACCAGTGAGATTTCTCTCGCAAGAGCAGCCGCTCCAAATCAAAATTTTCAACCTTCCATGAGGATTACGAGGCAACCGACATTGCCGATCAAATCAGACCCGCCTGATCTAACAACTAAGCGAAAAGAACAAAAAGGGGGCCTACTCCCTTTAAACGAACCGCTCCTCGTGGTTAAAACGAACAGGTGGCCGGGACAGGTTTTCATTCCTCGGTAAAAAAAAAAACGCCGGTGCTGAGTTCGGCGGAACGAGCGCGGCCTACAGCTTGTTGCACTAAGCTCAGTTACCAGGAATATCTGATCACCGAACAACGGTACAAGCACCCAGCACGCAGCCGTGAGTGGGCCGGACCACTACACGTCCACATTTTGAGCCTGTACTCCCATCCGTGAACGACCGGTGGCTGCAGACTGCATTCGGTTGCACATAGCAGCACCAGAAGCAGTGCTCATTCAGATCCTAGCTACTCTAACATATCCGTGTGGTGCATAGTGAACGAAGGGCAACGAAGGTGAACGGAGTGCGTGAGAAGAAGTGGACGATGTCAATCTGATATGCAATATGCCTTTATTCAACAAATTGATAATGAGAACGGACGAAGACAGGAAATGACATCTGCCACGGACACACGGCATTCTTGATGCCATGCTGTATTTATAAAGTATACTTGCCGTCGAAACCGCGCCGGCACCTCCGTCCACCCCCCCCCCCCCAAAAAAAAAACAAACAAACAGTGAAACAAAATGGCGCAGCCGACGTGAAGCGCTGACCCACCTTCGTACACCCAGTCGGGGATGCCGTTGTAGATAATGTTGTTGGCGCCGTTGCTGGTGATCTGGACGACGTCCGGACTGGTGATGAGTGGCCGTATGTAGATGTTGTTGTCGAAGACGAATACGATGCTGTCGCGGCCCGGTACCCATGTGGCGTACTGGAGCCGCTGCTGCGGCGCCGCCGCCCCCAGCGTCAGAGGGATACGCCGGCTGGGACATGACAAAGGCAGGTCAGTACTGCCGGGGCAGGTCAGCATGCAGCGCCGCCGCCCCCAGCATCAGAGGGATACGCCGGCTGGGACATGACAAAGGCAGGTCAGTACTGCCGGGGCAGACAAACATGTGGCGCCGCCGCCCCCAGCGTCAGACGGATACGCCAGCGGGGAATGGCCAGGGCAGGCCAGAACGGCCGAGGAAGGTCAGCACAACCAGGGGTAGTTCAGCGCGAGTCGGGCCAGGTCAGCGGCCCGGTCACGAGGTCACGTCAGTGGTCCCCACGGTAGGTAATCGTGCATCCACAGAGGGCCGGTACACTGAGCCATCCCAACGGCTGCAGACATCAGGGCTATCAGTTAGTGGGGATGGACGATCAGCAGATTTTGATGTCATATACTGGCGATAAAAGACTGCGACCAGAATAGATATCTGTTCCATTCACAACCACATGCCTTTAATGAGACTGTTAAAAATGTATTATATAATGATGAGCGGCCGTGTGTAGGTCGTAACAGTCCTACCACTGCGTTTCAGCGGAGAGCGCGACTCCAGACCAGGGAGAATGAATGAACTGAGATTGTTTGGCATCAGATCACGCACCACGACAGGGGAATATTACACAGAGCTTAAAACTGACTGATCACCATGGTGGTCGAACAACCATTGGTCAGAAAGGCTACGACGTGAATAATTGCATACTTTATATTCCATATATGACGTCTCAAATCAACACTTACTTATTTCTGACGTCGTAGATATCGTACAAAGACTGACGAGTGTATCGATAAACCTGGAAAGGGGGAAAATAACGTGAAGTCAGATAACTGCATCGGATCATGTCAGCACCAAGGGTAGGTAGGTCCACAAAAGGAATGATCGGCTGGGAAGTCCACAGAGTGTAATCATTTTCATCACACTACGTGAAGCAGAGCAGCTCAGACGCCAGTAAGGTATAACACATTGTTCGGTTGTTGACACCGTGCAATTGCGGTGCTTAACGTGCGTCCGCAGTTCTACAGTCGCAAGTTACAGTGCATTTGCTGATGATTTGGAATTAAAAATTACTATTATTTGCGCGAACAGTCATGTCGTATGCTAGGACACAACCGCGCATTGCCACCGAGCTGCAGCGGTGATATGGAGGACGCGTGTTCAACAATCTACCGTCCTTCATCAAAGATCCTCGTGGCACGATTGCCCTCCGGCAAGACATGCAGGGATGGGCTAATGCTGTAAAAGGTAGCTACACCAAACGTGGGAGACGCAACCTGAATCACAATCATCTGGGGGGGGGGGGGGGGTCTGGGGCGGAATTACGCCATCCGATCAGATACGTGTCCAGTGAGACCCGCGGGGTCGGGCAGTCACCACTTTCACAAGGAAACGGAACCGGCAGCTCCGTACGGAGCACACCATGCCATTAAAAGGTGCAAACTTGCGTGCCGTTGAGTGCGCCCATCCAGCCCGGAGCACCCCCGGGAGCTGGGCGTGTGTAGCCCGAAGGATAGTGGGTGTGACTCCGTTGAGTGCGCCCCTCCAGCCCGGAGCACCCCCGGGAGCTGGGTGTGTGCAGCCCGAAGGGTAGTGGGTGTGACTCCGTTGAGTGCGCCCCTCCAGCCCGGAGCACCCCCGGGAGCTGGGCGTGTGCAGCCCGAAGGGTAGTGGGTGTGACTCCGTTGAGTGCGCCCATCCAGCCCGGAGCACCCCCGGGAGCTGGGCGTGTGTAGCCCGAAGGATAGTGGGTGTGACTCCGTTGAGTGCGCCCCTCCAGCCCGGAGCACCCCCGGGAGCTGGGCGTGTGTAGCCCGAAGGATAGTGGGTGTGACTCCGTTGAGTGCGCCCCTCCAGCCCGGAGCACCCCCGGGAGCTGGGCGTGTGCAGCCCGAAGGGTAGTGGGTGTGACTCCGTCGCGCGAGGGCGAGTTACTTACCTGCTTAGCACCGTGTGGACAGAGCACATACTTTCGGCTGTCCGACAGCGTTCGCTTGGAGGAGCTCAGCTTCTCCTGGGGAAGAGGTCGCCGTCAACGGACTCCTGCAGTCACACGACAGCTACAGTGGTGGGGGTGTTACCACCACGTTTCAGCGGAGAGCACGCCTCCAGACTAGAGGGAGTAGGCGAGGGCGGGCCCCGGCGTGGGAGCAGCTGGGCTGGCCGATACCACACCACCCGGTGAACGTGTTGACACTGGGGACATGCGATAGCACAACGCACCACGGTTGGAAGAGAATGTCAGAGGACCTGTATGATAGCCAGTTGGTGTGCTCGCTTGTGAAACGGAGCCGTACACATTTTCAGGCGGTTAAAAATCGGGAGTGAAACTCATTTTCACCACTAATTGGACTTGCTGATGATTTCACATGGCATTCGAGTCAATGAAAACGAAAAAGAATAGGCGCCATCGCGACAAAAGGAAGAGACTGAAAAGAATGAGAGTAAGCAAGACGCCATGAAAAGAGTGGCAAGATATAGCGGGCTGAAACGTACGGAATACAATAGGCAGACGCAGCGCGCCAAGAAGGCGAAAGTGCCCAGGTTTCCACGGGAACAGACAGCCGCAACTAGCCATTTGATGAGCGCTGGCCAGCCACCTGCCGCTAGTACTCGAGGCCAGTTCCCATCCATCCACCCTTATTTCCTCATTCATCGCTTTGCTCTGAGTTCTCGCCACGTCACGCCTTAGCGGATGAACTGCGACCATCAGCCGGATCATGTGCCATCCTGGGCGGAGAGCTCGCCCGAGCGTCCGCACACACACACCACAGAAGGCTCGCCCGAGCGTCCGCCCATACGCCACAGAAGGCTCGCCCGAGCGTCCCCATATACGCCACAGAAGGCTCGTCCGAGCGTCCGCACATACACCACAGAAGGCTCGCCCGAGCATCCGTACATACGCCACAGAAGGCTCGCCCGAGCATCCGTACATACACCACAAAAGTCTCGATCGAGCGTCCGCACACACGCCACAGAAGTCTCGCCCGAGCGTCCGCACATACAACACAGAAAGCTCGCCCGAGCGTCCCCACATACGTCACAGAAGGCTCGTCCGAGCGTCCGCACATACACCACAGAAGGCTCGCCCGAGCATCCGTACATACGCCACAGAAGGCTCGCCCGATCATCCGTGCATACACCACAAAAGTCTCGATCGAGCGTCCGCACACACGCCACAGAAGTCTCGCCCGAGCGTCCGCACATACACCACAGAAGGCTCGCCTGAGCATCCGCACACACGCCACAGAACGGCCCCGGCGCGGGCCGAACTCGACAGCGGAGCCCTCCCAGATAGCCGCAGCATCGCCCTACCTTTCACCTCTCTCCTTTATCTCTTTGCCCTGAAATGGCCATCATCTCTCTCCTTCATCCATTTGCCCTGAAATCGTCAAAGCCGGCTGAAGTGACTATAAACTCAACCAAACCCCCCAAAAAAATCCCATCGCAGAGCCCCGCTGCACTGAGCCCACTCCATTCGGCCATTTAACGCCTCGGCCCATTACATCCGCTGACACCCAGCGGTCTGTCGGAGGAGCGGCTGGTCAGCTCGGCAGGGCTCCTGGCCGTTCAGCTCAGCGAATCTCATGGCTGATCAGCTCAGCGAGGCTCATGGCTGGTCAGCTCAGCGAGGCTCATGGCTGGTCAGCTCAGCGAGGCTCATCTCTGATCAGCTCAGCGAGGTCAGTTCAGCGAGGCTCACGGCCGGTAAGCCCTGCAGAGCTCACCGTCCGCCGGCCGCGGCGGCCGCCTGCAGCCGGCCGGCCGCTTTCACCGTCAGTGCGGGGCCGGAGCGCTCGCGCTGGCCGCCGGGCAGTCCGGATGCCCGGCGAGAGGGTCGCCAGAAAAACCGGCCAGCGGCCCGGCACCACGGTGCCGCGAGCGGCTCCGCAATGCGCGACGCCCTGTCACGGCGCCGCGGACCCAGGCCTTTGCTGACAGTATCGCCTGACGGACGGCGGGTTCTCTGGTGCAGGAGGTCTCTGGTGCCGGAGAGACGTGCGCGATGCAAATGCCGTCACAGAAAAACGGCGTTGGTCGAACGTTGGTACTCCTTGATATGCTGGTTTCTCTCCGTCGTTCGCTTCCATAATTCATTCGGCTGTCGCAGCGAGTGCATCTTTAGAGTGGTCCCGCGGTTGGGCGTCTGGGTATGGACGAGCCGAGCGCTATCGAGCGTCTTATCCCGACCTTCGGCTTGCCGTGAAAGCCCCTGGGGATCGAGGCCCGTCTCCTGACAGGCGCCGGGGTAAGCGGCTCGTCGGAGGCGCCTGACCGGTTACTGACCGGGGCAAGGCCGGGTGTTCGTCATAGGCTACGCAGACCGAGATCTCGCAGCTGAGGTCCTGCACACTAAGCAGAACCCCGTCACCTGTACCAGTGGGCACAAGCTGACCTATAGCGTGCATAAGCAGCGCGGGGAGCAGAAGGCATTGCGGTGGGTCTTGTGCAGCGCGAGCAATGGACGCTAACGGACGGCAAGTGCCCCACTGTTACAAGTCTTTTGCTCGTCGTCCTGACCCACTGAGCACATCCCAATCCTGGTATCTTCAAAGAAGAGCTAGAAAGCGGACAAAGATGGCTACGCAGCCTGAGCTTTGCGAATTTCTCCCCACAAAAACATGCTCTTCGATTGCGGTGCCTATCGCAACCGGTACCTGCCATTTGGACACGCATCTAGCGACAGCGGGGAAACCAGAACGGCGCCCGGACATCCAAACACAACAGACTCAGTGCTCCCATGTGAGCCAATGTGGCATACTTATTGATGGCGTACGAGTCAGTCAACGGAACTCATGAACGTCAAACCGTTGGGTCCGTGAGCAGGATTATCTCCAGCGGTTCAATCCCTGAACTTTAGAATGAAGAACAGTCAGCTCCGGTTTCAAAAGGCTAATCGCGATGCCTTCTCTGGATCTAGGCACTTCTAGGCGAGCCTGGCACGTGATAAGATTCAGACTCGGATAAAAAACCAGCCGCATCACATAATTTCCACATGAGAAACTACAGTCAACCATTGAGGCCAGACACACCACATGTCAAGGCCAACCACCATCCACAGCATTCTGCTGCACGAATCGAACTTTTGCAAGGACAGCCACTAGCTGAGCTACCCAAACACTAATCACTCTCTTGCCACAAGGTCAACAGCATTACACTGCAATCAGGGCATGGCGCAGTGACAATGAGCTGGGCATTGCAGGCACGCTCCACCAAATAAAAGTACTCACCCATTGGGAGCCCGGTATCAATATAGTTCGAACTTTTGTCTTGACGTTAAATATAAAGAGACCTTCTTTAGAGTCGTCCATGTTTTCATCATCTGCAACAACAGGGAGAAACGCGTCATAGATCGGCGAGGCACCAGCAAAGGCAGATCTAAGACACTGTTTCCCAATGAACGTCCAATGAGACTTAGCTCGAACCGGCACCCAGTGCCCGCATGCAATAGCACGTCAGTAATCTCACATCTTCCAACTCACCATCACGGACAAGACTGCGTGAACACGTCCATAGCAACACGACCAAACAAGGCCATCACGTCGGTACACATTGGCGCCAGATACCCGCCACCTTCCAGCTCGGACACAGGCCTCACAACCCACCAAACGACGGTGCACCCAACACGATGTTCACGAGTCGGCGTTACCACCCTGCTGCCATCCACCAGTAACGCCATGACGCGTCTGGACCGCCGCGCGGCCACGCTAGCACAGGACCTGACCCACACAAACCACATTTTATGACAAGCGAGGCACCCGAGGGGAAGCGGGGCATCTGTCGCTGTCACGTGCGCAGAAGCGCCTGAGTGTTTGGGGCCGCATGCTCGCCCCTGGGTCATCGAGAGAAAACGCACACCTGTCGCCGTTACAGACATCTACGCCGCGAGGTCAGCCTCCGATGTCTGCTTCCAGCAACGAGTCGCATGGAGAAGAGCCAGCATTGTTCGTTTCGGAGATCTCAGAGTCATTCCAACGGGTTGGTACATAACGGCTGATGACATCCACCGTTCAGTAGGTGTCAATTTGTCAGAGTAACTGAAATATCTCACGCGGGTCCTTTCAGTGTGTGATTTACACGGCCTTAGCAAATACCAGCCCAGAGAGACCGCGATTTGTTACGATTTCCTACCAGCCGTTAGTGTAGCGTTACCCTGCCTAACCCGCCTCCCCTCCCCCTCGATAGGCTTCGGTTACGCACCTGCACCACACCACCTCAGTCCTTCCCCTCCATTCGAAACGCAATATGTGGAGGGACTTTTTTCTGACAACTGTGATCGGAACGACACTAAAACACTACGCAGTTATACCTCCCACACAGCAGCGCCGCTGGCCAGTCAGTTCGTAGATCGTCAACAATGCCGGGCTCGAGTACCTGGCAGCAGTCTGCACCGGGCAAGTGGCTCCAAAGTGACAGTAACCTGCGGCTCTAATCAAGCGGCGGCCGTCGGGGTGGCCTCGCTGCCGAGCAAACATCCCGAGCCAATTAACGACGGGAACTAATCAGCACAACGGCGGCGGCGGCGCCCGCGGCGGTTTTTCCCATCGTAAACAAGGTCGTGGTCAGATGGGGGGCCCGGGGGACCGATCGGACCAGACCGGACAGGGCCGCTGGTCTGCGCATAGCCGATGCCCCGCACCAAGGGCACCGTCTGGACACGGGCTACTGGCCCGCGCATAGCCGATGCTCGGCACCAAGGGCTCCGTCTGGACACGGGTGCATAGCCGATGCGCGGCACCAAGGGCACCGTCTGGACACGGGCTCCTGGTCTCCGCATAGCCGATGCTCGGCACCAAGGGCTCCGTCTGGACACGGGCTCCTGGTCTGCGCATAGCCGATGCTCGGCACCAAGGGCTCCGCCTGGACACGGGCGCATAGCCGATGCACGGCACCAAGGGCTCCGCCTGGACACGGGCTCCTGGTCTGCGCATAGCCGATGCCCGGCACCAAGGGCTCCGCCTGGACACGGGCTCCTGGTCTGCGCATAGCCGATGCACGGCACCAAGGGCTCCGCCTGGACATAGGCACCTGGCAGCAATGTCGGGCCGCCTCTCACAGTGGCCTATTGCGGGCGGTAAGTTAATGATCCCTGGGTCATGCACGGCCGGGACACGCCGGCAAGGCGGCACCACTGCCGGGACCAGAACAGGGAGAGGCGACCGCGCGAGCTTACCCTGCTCAGTGGCACGTCAGTCGCCACGTTACCCACCGCCGGTTGCTGCGACGACGCAGAAGTCTTGTCCCCATCCCCCCCCCCCCCCCCTCCCGCGGCGGCGGACGGGGACGGACGGTCGCGGTCGCGCCGCAGCTCTGAGGCGTAATAACGCTATTCGCACTCGTGTCTGGTACTCAGGCTGACTGGGATGACGACGGTGCCTTTGTAGGCCGGATGATATCGCCCTACGCCACAAACGTCACACGGCTCTTTTGGACGAGGGAGCTCCCGGCGCACGAGCATCCCCGCGAAGCTTACCACGCATGCGGCACAGCCACTGACACTTGCAATAACATATAGATCAAGTGTGGCAGATGTGACCGGACAAAAACCTGCTGACCCGTCACAGCCGAGTTCGCCAAATCAATCCCGGGGCCAAATGTTTCACAATGGTGCGTGTTTCGCCTTCGGCAACTGGCGGAGTTCTCGACGCGACCGGTCGGGAAGCGTGATGAAATCAGCCGGTGATTGCTAAGATGAAATGTACGCCGGGCCATCAATAGCTGATGCGCCGATGATGTAACCAACCGTCGCCACTTCATTATATCAGTCCCACAAGAGCGTGTCAGCCAGCGGCTAGCTCCCCGCCGTGCTAGATAATTAATCCTTTCTGTGTCAATGCTCACCAGTGCGTTTATCTGATGGGTCGGGCTAGCGAGGTGACAGGGCCTTTTGAGAGGAATGCTGTGTGGTGGAAATCCCAACCACACGACGGCTCCTAACTATGAATTACCCTGTAACATCCTGCAATTCCGATTTGTCCCAGACCTTAGATTGCAATGCTTGTGTTGAGATTAAAAGCGGCAAAAAGACGTTACAAATTAAATACGATATAGGATGGAACATGGCTACAACGTGGTTTGAACAGCGTATGAGTGGGAAGAGGGGAATATTTGAGCAGTGGGGAAAATTCGGCTGAGCACAGGCGATTGTTCCCTCTTACCATAAAAAACCGGCAGCAGAGCATGATAACTTGGAAATATTTGTTCAGACGACTGATCTTGCGCACAAGTGCATTTTTCAAACATGCTGTGCGCTCCAGAACTAAAGAGCGCTGCTGTATTCGGGGTCACATCGCGGCGGACCACCCCACACACAACGGCGAACTGCCGCACACGACGCCGACAGGATACTCCTCTCTA